GACCTCTCTACTAGTCGCGAGACACTATTGGATAAAAATAAAAGCTTCGTGGTTGCATCAGGATTATTTAACTGGAGGAAGCAAAGTTCAAACAGAAATCACTAACAAAGGTGTTATAGAAATTTTAGGAATAAAACAGTGAATGTCTCCGAGGGGACCTTGGAACTTTGCAAAAACTAGGGACAGAGCTTGAAGTTACTTTTGTTAACAGTTACTTTAGGCCTTATTTTGCTTTAGTTCCAACTTTAGATCAAAGCTTTTGCAACACTGGTGCCGCCTCCCCCTCTCTTATTTATAGCAAGGAAGAGAAGCGGGTCAGAATCGTATCCTAAGATGTGTCGAGCAAATAACTATGCCTGTCTATCAGCAGCAGGGGTTACTTGCTTTCATTTGCTTCCAGCTGCTTGGTGCTGCTTACTCACCCTCTAGACAGTACTGCCAGCGAGTGATTGCTGCTGGCGCAGGCTACTCTTGAGTGTTTCAGCTTCTCACACAGAAATGTATTAGAGAGGGCGATTCGAACGCAAATTTGCTGGCAGCGGTAGCGCCCGCGATGCTGCTCATACAGTCACTCCTCTTGTCTGATCCCTCAAACAGATATTCATCTGGTCCGGGCTGGATGTGCAGAGCGGATGCACGCTGTAATTTTGTCAAAGGTTTTTGTGAAATTTGCACTGCAAAAATACGAACTATCTTAATGATATACGCAAACAAATGATTCTGATGGCATACATTTATTAACAGCAACCACTGCTATGCGCGCCAATGATCAATAACTGCTTTTTTATACAAGTGCACTGCAATGGTACACAGATCTCGGCGATTATCATGTGGTAGCAGTCGAAATTTGTCAAATAAAAACAAATGCAATAGAGATGTTACATGTATTGAGCCCGGTTCATCCAAATAGGAAATACAAAGTCTAGCAGGTTGAAATTTTAGTAAAATGTTCTTCGTCTATGCGACTCCGAAAATTTAAATCCAGCCTTCCCGCATGCATATCACGTACGCCCCCTTGGAAGAAAAGTATTGTCCCAAGGACCACGAAAGCTGGGGAGCTAAAATCTTAGCACAGTTTCCCTCGTCTAGGTACGACCCCGCAAATTCAAATTCAGCTTTCAGGTAAGCCTGAGTCTCACGCACAACGCGACGATTTCGATGGAAAAATTACTGTCCCGGAAGCCGCTAAAGAAAGGAAGCTGAAATTTTGAGGAAATGTTCTTTGCCCACATGCTACATTGCAGATTCAAATTCACCTTTCACGTGCTTCTGAGTTTTCCGTAGAGCCTCGCAAAATTTGTGACGGGAAGACTGTTGTCTCGGGAACCAGAAGAGCTGTGAGGCTGAAATTTCGGCAGGATGTTTTCTGCCTCTGCAGGGACCTCGCAAACTTAAAATTGGCTCCCAAGTATGCGAGGCTTTGGTGCGAAAGTCAGTTGTTCAGAAGCCAGAAAACCAGGAGGTCGAAATTAGGAAGACCTTCTCCATCCAAGGTTACAAATTCAGCTCTCACGTGTACTTGCATTTCATTTGCCGGTACGCGAAATTTCTGGCGGCAGACTTCTCAGATTAGGAGCCAGACAACATATCGATTATTCCTGCATACACAAAAGTGTAAAACAGTGTAAATTTTTAACAGGCAAATGGCTGCTGGACAGAACTGCTTAAAACGCTTGATCGCACCTGGATGCGCGCCGTTGTTTATCTTAATTCTCATTCGTTGCAAATGTCTCTATCTGAGTTAAGTTCATATATTTCCTCCTTTAGTGGCAGTATCTCTTTGCTTCATTTAACAATGTCTGTGCACCATTCAGCTGCCTATTTTGTCCACTTATTACCTTCGATTCAATTTCTCATTAATGTTTCTTGCAACAAATCAAAAACAGTTCTAATGGTGAAAATATGGCAGTATAAGGAGCATGAGATTAGTTGGCGATTTTTCAAATTTTTTTATCAGAATTGGTAAGTGTCACTGCTGCGACAAATCCATTGTTTATTTTTTAAATCAATTAGGCTTTTTAAATTATATATGGTGACAATTGAGGAAGAAATTGATGAAGGCGAAAAGGAGGATATCGAAATGCCAAAAGCTATGGGTGATATTTTTAAGTCGGTTGCTGGCGCCTATACCTGGTTACTGTCAGTGTCTTTGTTACATTTTTTAAACAACTTAGAAGTCAAACGATTTCAGCAGGTGAATTTTTATAATGGTTCCAGGGTCCCGACTTTATGATGCTCATAAAACTTATTTCAATGTCCGCTTTCGCCCCCACCATCTTTGATTTTTTAAGATAGCAGTAGAAGTCTGGACGTTGTTTGGAGGATTTTCTATAACTTGATAAAAGAAACAATTGAGGAATGTTGCAGCCATCCGCTTCGATCGCCCGTTTGTGAACTGCTAGAAATGGAGCCCGGTCGAGCACGCTTTCGTATGCTTTGAATTTCTATCCTTTCAAATGTTGACCATTTAAAAAATTTCAGTTTGTGGTTCCTAGTGCTTGTTTGTTGATAAATGTTGTAGAGTGTCGAGCGCGAAAAGGCTGAAGCTTTCATGTAAAGATGTACTGCTAAAAAATCAAATTTTTGCAGCAAACTGGAAAGAGTATTGGAATCAGGCAAAGTGCATGTAACAGCTGATATCCAGGGAAAATGTCGTTTCACAGGAATGGGACGTAGTTATCGGATTGCAAAATGTACTGCAGCAAAACGAGCTTTGTGATATTTGCGAAGCTTGAAAAATCAAAAGGAATGAGCTGCTATGAAAATTTAATTGTTTCATCAATCAGGTTGTTAACTGTATGAATGGTTGCTGCTTTACACTTATATTGTTCTCTCTTGTTCAAATCATCATATGTTGTGCATAAAGGAAAATAAGTAATTTCCATCAAACAGCCATTCTTTGAGAACTGTGGGCTGGATACACCAGGATTGCCGATGCGATCATGCGTTTTTGCACTAAGCTTAAAGCAGTCAAGTCGTTAATTATATGAGTGGTTTCTGCTCTACATTTACATTGTTCG